TCTATCCATCTATCTATCTATCCATCTCTCTATCCATCCATCCCTCCCTCCACCCACCCAGCAACGACAGAAGCTCTGAGATGCCCCTGAGCCCGTGGGGAAACACCCCTGAGAAGGCGATTAGCTCCGTCGGTTCACCTACAGAGCTCTGGGAAGAACGGGAGGTGACCCTGATTATCTGGAAATGCAAATGCCCCCCTCTGCTGCAGTGGCTGCTCTCCGTGCTGCTGGGGCTCCTGCAACCCCCCCGAGGCTGAGCCTACACGTGTGAACAGCACGGGGAACCTGCCAGGGCCACGTCAATCCTCTCACAGTGATGGAGACACGACAAGAGAGGCTGCAGCACTCAGGAGAAGCCCAGCAGGTACCCAGGGCTGCTGCTGGGTGTAAGAGCTCTCCTGGGCAGCAGGATGGAGCCAGCACAAGGATGCTGACCCCCCCTGTCCCCCCTGTGCTGGGCAGAGCCTGGAGTGCAGAAGTGTGAGAGGCAGAGAACAGCTCTGGGGTGTTTGGGTCAGGGTTTTTATGACGTAGTTCATGCTGAGCTCAAGTGATCACAAAGGAAGAAATTAGCAGGAAAATGCAGTGATTCAGAGGGTGGTTTACTGGAGGCTAAAGCAGCTTGTGCTGGCTGAGGGTTTAACCCCTGCTGGGCTTGCAGAGCTGAGTATTTCTGGGCAGATTTAGTGAGAGCATCCTTCTAAGCTCAGGGCTAGGGGTGAGGAGGATGAAACATGTTCCCCTCCCTCTGCAGGTCCCAGACCACCAGGCTAAAGACTGGTGTGGGCTGAGGGCACCTGCTTTGGTGAAGCTGTGACACAGTGCAGAGGAGAACACACAGGATGGGGAGAAGGGCATGAAGGAGCTGGCTCAGAGCATGCTCTGGAGAGCTCTCCTGAGGTGGGAAACCCTCCTGCCTAGCACTAAGGTCACCTCTGCAAACCTGAACAGAGGTTTCATTCTCCAAAATGAAAACACTGAGTGTGAAACAGTGCTTAAAGAATGGGGTCTGGGACCCCCAACCCCCCAGCACTCCTGGCTGACAGCTTCTAGGAGCATGAGCAAAAACCCCTTTCATGTGCACGCTGCCTGCCCTGCATGGGGACAAAGCTGGGGATCAGAAAAGTCACTGAACGTTTCTGCAAGCTGCAGGCAGTGGGAGGGAGGGTAAAAGTGGCCAGCAGAACAGAAGCACTTGAGGGATCGAGGCACTGAAGGAGCCTTCTGTTTTCAGATGCTTAAAAATGGAAAAAAATACCCTGGATAATCCCAGGTCTATGCTCAGGAGGGGCTGGAGATCCAGAAGGGACCCATTTCCAGGGGAACTTTAGACTTGTTTTCACTGCTGTGGTCACTGAGGAGCAGAACTCTGGAAGCACAGCTCGATGGAGTGGTGTCAGTGCTGGCAGGTCCTCCCTGGTGCCTGGCTGCAGAAAAGCTGCATGCAGGATTGGCTGCAGCTTAAAAAGGGCTCTGGGGTTTTTTGTTGGTTTTGTAAGTCGAGACAAATACGTTTCTCTGTTGCTTTTCCATTTCTAGGAGACACCATGCTGGATTCTATTCCCAGTTACCACACTGACATTGAAAGAAGAGGCAAAATCTCAAACAATCAATGCAAAAGGAAAAGAAAAACCAGCAGCAGCCCTTCTTTCCATCTGTTGGTAGGGTGCAGAGCCAACACTACTCATTTACTTCATGTCTAATGGACTTAAAGGAGGCCAAAAATTGGTTTAATGCTGTCTTAAGGCACCTGGTCTGATATCATTACATGTTTTGCCCAATCCAATAAGCAGTGCAAAACCTGGCACACTGCTGGAGTGTGACCCTGTGCATCATCCCATGGATCTGGAGGGAAGCCCAGCACTGTGTGTGGGCACCAAGGGGGCTACTTCCAGGGGGGATGACTTGTGCCCCACACAGGACCCTCATTTTGGGATCAAAATCTTCTCAAAACATGGAGAGTTGGATTGTCTCTTAATCACCTGGATAAAGTTCCCATTAATGTAAAAAGCAGAGTTTTAAGGTGATTTCTTTCCTTCTTGCTCTCTGTCACTCCTTGGAAGGAGGCTGGAGCAAGGTGGGGTTGGTCTCTTCTCCCAAGGAACAAGGGACAGGACAAGAAGAAACAGCCTCAAGTTGCCCCAGGGGAGGTTGAGGTTGTCCCTGAGGAACAATTTCTTGCCCTGGAGGGTTGCCCAGGGCTGTGCCAGGCTGCCCAGGGCAGTGGTGGAGTCCCCACCCCTGGAGGGGTTCCCAAGCCGTGGAGATGTGGTGTGAGGGACACGGGGCAGTGGGGACCTGGCAGTGCTGGGGGATGGTTGGACTTGATGATCATGAAAGTAATTTCCAACCAGAAAGATTCTATGGTTCTGTGATCCTCCTGCTCTCAGCTGATCCCCTTCTTCCTCAGAGGCCAGCCAGCTCCTGAGCAACCCTTCTGGGAGGTCTGGTACAACAGTGCATGAAATGAGCCTCAGTTTATACTATTTGAAAAATGTTTTTCTGCTTCACCTCTAACAAAGTTGATTGCATTTTCCATTTCACCTCCTTCATGGCTTTCCCCTCTTCCTGAAGCGTTCTGTGACAGGGAAATTACCACGGTTTCCCATTTAAGAGGTGGAGGGAACAACTGAGATAATGTAGAAACAAGTCCTTAATAGGATCTGCTGACACAGGAGCAGAGCTCTCGACATGTCACTGCGGGCTGCTGAGCTGCTAAGCCACTGAGACCTGTCCTGCAAAGGCTGGGAATTTAAAGGAGTAAATAGTTCAGCTGAATGCAGTGGAAGGATTCCTACTCCTACAGGGCTCCTTCGCTGCTTTCCAGGTACAACTGATGCTCCAAAACCACCTTAAAGCCCCTCCCAGTGCTCCTGTCGTGGCGCATGGGGAGGGTGCAGCCTGCTCCCAGCCCCTGGCTGCACCTCAGCCCAGCAGCACAGCCCCAGGTGCCTCTGGCCAAAACCAACTTTGGCAATATATGTAAAAAGCACACGGTGAGATCCAAAAAATCAGTTGCTTATAGCCAACTCTCAGGAATTCCCTCCTACCTCCCTCTTGGGAGTGATGCCACCCTGCTCCAGCAGCCTTGGGACTCTCCTCAAGTCATGGGCATGACATAAACCACAAGCAAGAAACTAAGAGTTTTCAATAAAAATGTTCAGTGCTGGTAGTTAATCCATCTGAGACTGGACTATGATTACCACAGTGTAGGACAAAAGAAACAGAGCTGCTAATTTAATGACCCTGTTTATTGTTTTTCTGACTTCATGCCTTAAAACCAGCCAGGCTTGGGCTCTGACTGAACTTCTGCCTGACTCCAGGACTTCAGCTCATAAAAAGAACTGCCAGTGTTATAGCATGAGCTCTTTCTTCATAAAAGAAATGCTGACTGCTGCTTGAGGAGCTAATTAATTTTATAGGCAGAGAAATCTCAGATAATAGCCCCTCCTTTTCATCTCAGAGAGAAAGAGAGAGAAAGAGAAAGAGAGAAAACACGAGAGCAATTGCTGTGTAGGAAATAAGTATGGTTAGATATGTTCTGTTGGTCAGGATGCAGGTCCAGTGGTTTCAGTGGGAATACTGGTTGGCATGCTCAGGCACCTTTGAACCGCGTCACTTAACGACTGAACAGCACAATTATTAATTAATTAACGCCTTAATTAATTAATAATCTAATCAACCGGACAGCAAATAAGAATTTAAACTGGTTTTGTCATGGCCATCATGCAAGTGAGCTCCTCTGATTGTCCATAATCTCCGTGGTTGCTTCCGTGGTGGGGCAACATGCTGGTGGTGGGGGACAGTCCCCTGGTGACAGTGCCAACCGTGGCCTGAACCACACGGACGTCGTCCCTGGGGCCCCTTTTTTGGGCGTGTGCATATAGGCTGAGCTTAGAAAAATCTGGCCAGGAGAGTTTTTAGAGAACATCTCAGAAAGACAACACAGGAAGTCAGCAGAGAGGAGAAGACTAATGACGATGGAGAGACACAGCAAACCAAGGAGTTTACAGTTGGCCTAAGCAAACCACTACTGGACCAGCAAAGCCAGTAGACAACAAACAGGCGAGGCAGAAAGCAAAGAGCTCCTTCAACTTGTGCCAAAAAAAACCCACCCAGTGCCTGTGCAGAGCAGGGATGAGTCCACCCGGGGCTGAGCGCAGCCAAGAGGTGATGACTTCCCTCAAACCCCATTTATAGGCCTAGTGGTGCCAGGGGACTTTGGGAACCAATCGCTACGTCTACACCTTTGTGAAGCTTTGGAACACTTGGAGAATGTCCTCTTTTGACTTTCCCTCTGTAGTTAGTGTTTCAAAACCTGTAGCTGCAAGGGTTATTGTGAGAGATAATCAGCGCTGGCTGCTCTGCCAGTTGAGACTCTAATGTCAAGCATGGCATTGAGGAGTTGGCTGTAGCCTGCCTGGGTGGGGAACTGAATCTGGCACTGGAGAGAGAGAATGTCTTCACTAAGATGCTTTATTTCCTCATACTGATGCTACTGTGCTGTCCTGAAGAAGCCACAGGTAGCCCCAGGAAACATGAGCGTCCCCTTTCCAGGAGCAGGGAAGGGGCAGGTAGATCCCTCACCCCCTTTCCCTCTTTGCTATCGGGAGACTTTGGGAAGGAGCAGAACCCACTTGGGAGGCTTTGGGAATGAGCAGAACCCTTCCACATCTCCGCACTCACTTCAGCCTGAGGTAAACAACTGAGAGAAGATTTCTGCCCCCAGGGACAGCTTCTGGACATCAGACTGGAGACAACGAGATCAAATTCATCTCTGGTGAGATCCCGCCGGCTTCGACCGCCTCAGACCAGAGATTAATTTGCCCCACGGATACATTAAGAAAGGATACAATGCACAAACGGTATTTTTATATTAAAAAAAACTGAGGAAGGGGAGGGGGAATTTCCAGGGGGAAGCTGGATCCCAGCCCAGCAGGATTCAGCCCAGCCCGCTCCACCCTCACATCACCAGGCACAGTGCGTGTTGCCGGTTACCTTTTTGCTTACTGACTTTCTTTACTGTCATTGCCGCTTGTCGCTTTTGATTCTCAGAAATTTCGAAGCCTGGAAAAGGGAACAGGGCAAACAGCATTCAGAAGGTTGCTCACAAAGCCTCTTTGCCCTCTGGGGAGGTAAGGAGGGGACTGTTCTGCACTCTTTGGCCAACTCGGAGGTCCAAGCAGCACCCCGCGGGGAGGTGTTTACAGCAAGAAGGAAATCTGCCTGGAGAGGACAAGCCTCTCTGTGATCTCCCTCGTGCAGGGGCTGGATGAAAAGTGAGATTAAAGCCATTATTATTTATACAGCATCATAAATATGCCCAGTGCTTTATGGCTGAGCAGCACGAACTGAGCCTGAACTGGCACTGGTTCCGGTCACCTCCAGGCTGGTGCTGAGGCAGGGGCATGGTGCTCAGGCACTGACTTCACCACCCTCCTGTGATGTGCTTAACAGGAGCAGAAACGAGGCAGCCAGGAGGCTCTGAAGTCAGATGGCCAAAGACTTTCTTCTCCCAATACCCAAAGAGGTCCAGGCTCGAAGCTATGGGCAGAATTTGTTTCTTGAGGGCCAAAAATAGCAGTAAATGAATTAGAGAGGCACCTCCCTATGACTATGAGGGCAACCAAGGACCCCTGAACTGTAATTCACTACAAAAAAAAGGTGGGCTTCTGCAACAGGTGGGGCCTATGTTGTCACCAACAATCTCCTTCCAGATTCATGCCATGTTCCTCACCTATCTTTTCGTCTTCTTTTACCATCTTCCTCTCTTCTCTGAAAGCTCTAAGCCACCGTAACTTCTCCTCCAGTTTCTTGGCAAAGAATAAGTGCATTTCCTCAGTCTCCTTGTTATGAAGTTTGAAGGCATTCTTCATGCTGACATTGAAGTCATCATCTCTCCCATCTTCTATATCCACCACCTCGTATTTGTCCATGTCTATGCGACCTTTGTAATACAGAATATCTCTTCGTATCAGATCCTACAGGGAGAAAAGGAGAGACAGGTTGATTGCAAGATACTCACAGAGCAGGGAACTCATGGGAGGGCTGAAGAAAAGGCAGAAGAAATGGTGAAGCCCAGTCAGATTCTTCAAGCCTCCTTCCCTGTGGATAGATTCCTTGCTGACTAAATAGGGTAAACCACCTTGTTTTTCTTCAACAGCTCATTTCTCTGTGTTGGGAAGGGGAAAGTAAAATAAGCTTCATTATTATTTTTCAGAACTGATATGAGAACACCCACAGCCCAGCAGGAGGTGGAGGTGGCACTGAACAATTAGTGGTTTGAGATAGATTGTGGTGAGCACTCAGTCACAGAAGTGAGATTGTGGATGCTGATCAACCGTGGTCAAAACCAGATGATGATTTCTTCTTCTTGCCTCCTTACTCTCTTCATATTTGTTTTAGCTTTGCTCATCAGATTTTGTCCTGGCTTTCCTAGAATTATTCCTGATTTATAGTGGTGTAAGAGGAGCTCTGGCCTCACAGCTCTGCAGCTTTATAGGAAGAGATAACAAAAAAATGATCACCAGAAAACAGTATGTTAATTATGCAGTCGTGACCACAGAAGCTGGTTCAAGTTACAAGGCATACATATTTAAAAAGCTAAATTTAGCCACACACAATCCAGCTCTCCTTCCTCTACCCACTCTCAAAATCCAATATTTACGTGTATTCCATTAATTTCACTTAAATGCTTTTTGATTTTTAAGAGTGCCTTAAAGATAAATGCCATGTCAAAGGATTCATTTAAGAGGAAAAATAAAATCGATGTACAGCCTTAATTTACTCCAATTAGATTTAGTGGGGAGGTTTTTTTTTAAAGATAAGCAGTAGGTATTAAACAAAGCATTAATTCTGGAAAATAAATTGCACACCATAATTTCTTTTTAGCAAACTTGCTCATAGATCTGCCAGACACTATTAATTATCATGAGATAGGGCACTACCCAGAAGCTTATAGCCTTTAAAAATCTGGTTCCTTCCTCTGGAATGCTCAGGGAGGGCACCACCAATTAATTGTACAAATATCTTCCTCTAGTATGGAGGCTCTGAGTAGTGATGCTGTCCAAAACATCAGAAAAGGGTATTTCAGGCTGAATATGTGATGGAAAATCTTTTCTGTTTTGTCCCAACTTGGAAAATTGCTTCTTTCCCTCTGCACCCAGTGAGAAAAAAAGCTGAGAAAAGGCTTCAGGCATCACACTAAACTTCTTCAATTCAATCAAGGCTCTGTGCTGTGCTTAAATTTGAGTCTTGGGCTAGTTCTTAGAAACAGCATTTATCTTCACCACGTTGTCCAAAAAAAAACCTTGATAACAAATGTCATAGGAAAAAAAAAAAGACATGCTCCTTCAATTACCTTCTTGCCAGTGCTGAGGAAAACTTCCAAAGCCCAACGCTGAAAGGACTGCGCTTGGGAGGTGGGTGAAGAAGGATCAAACACACTTCTCCATGCAATATTCATGATTATGTAGGGATTTGTTCAGAAAAGGTATTACAAGAATAAATAATCACAATCCTCCCTCTCACCCAGCTCTGAACACACAAGCCTCAGTGCATTAGCTTTTTTTTCTAAAAAGAAATACATCTCCCCTCCCTTTTATCTCTCCAGTTTTGATTTAGAAAACATCACGACTGGTTTTTAATAGCTGAAACCAAGTCAATGCCTTAACAGCCTCATGCTGTCCCCTTCCAGAGGACACCACCCCAGGTGGGGAGGGGTCTGACTGAGCTGCCCCACACATCTCTGATGTTCTGTGGCAGGGACCCTCCCTGCTGAGGGCTCTGCAGCACGTCTCGGAGCCTCCCGTGCTCTGCTGGTCCTGGGTGCTGGATGAGAAGACAACGGTGCTGCCCAAGAGTCACTGCAGGAGCAACGAGGAGATAATGGGATCAGACAAGTGCTCCTGGAAATCAGATGGCCCCACAGAGGATTATTGGTGGGGGGAAAGGACAAGCTCAGCTCCAGAGAATGTTTACAGGGAACTCATGGAGAAAAATCACATCTTTGTCCTTCAGCGCTGAGCAAACACGTGGCTGAGAGAGGGGAAGGCAGCAAGGACAAAGCTCCTGCCTGCCACTTTTGCTTTCATTTTGGGAAGAAACTTCATGAACTACCTGTTCTGCCACAGCCCTCTCCAGAGCTCTCAGCCTCCAGCTTGGCAGGAGGAGAAAGAGCCCCTGGAGTGGAGGGAGGCCCCAAGAAAGGTGCTGACACGGAGGAAGATGAAACCATTCAGAGAGGTACAGAAAAGCTCAAGAGCTCAGAGCAAGAAAAGCTCAAGAGCTCAGAGCAAGCCCACGAGTGTGACTCACTGCCCTGGGCCAAGGCAATATTTCCTTCATGCTTCCACAAAAGGACCATTCCCCCCTTGCTGACCATAAACACCACCACTGATGCTGAGTTTTTAGGAGGTTCTTTCTTTTTTCAGAGTGGTAGAGCACATAAACACCTTGGTGAATAGCACAAGGAAGACAAGACCCCAGGCTGGATGGGGCTTTGAGCAACCTGGGCTAGTGGGAGACAGGTTGGAACAGCAGGGGGGTCAGAACTAGGTGATCTTTAAGGTCCTTTCCAACCCAAACCAGTCTATGATCCTGTAAGACACTTTGCACACCCTTGGCTTCGAGGAAGTTCAGCCCATGTAGCAGATTAAGAATGGTGACCAGATAATGTCACTTTTAATGAGCTAAGCACTGCCTACTACTGCTGCTCCTCTCCTTGCCAGCACTCAAAAAATGGATATTATTTCTCAACTGATGAAATTTTAACACCCACAGCATGGGAAACGTAACAATTATTTCATCTGTGGATATTTTATCACCTATGTTCCTGCAGCTCTAACATCTATTACTGAGCTCCTTAGTGAAACTGGGCATCTTCAAACGTGCTCAGCTCACACATTAACTGACTTCAAGAAAATTTAGGACTTGATCTGTCGAGCACAGCACCATCTCCCCTCCTTCCAGCACTTCAGCTGGATTGAACCAGCACACGTGAGAGAAGGGAGAGCAGATGTGTGGCGAAGGGTGGAAAGGGATGGTCTGAACAAGCTGCTGGAAGCATTACAGGTCAGAAGGACACAGGAGAGATGTCTACACAAAATGGACATTTCCAGGGAGCTCAGGCTCGAGGAGGGCAGAGGTGGCACTTGGGACAGGCTGCTGCTGCTCCTGATTAAGCCAGGGATAACAAACAGGAGAATCAAGAAGAAATCATTAAGCTATAGAATTTAGCTTTGCTGTATGGTATTCACTGGCTGTAAATACTACACAGTATTTACTATAAATAATAATATTTACTGTATAAATAGATCTATATAATAAATACTGTAAACACTATACAGTATTTACTGTAAATAATATCTCCTGTATAAATAAATATCTATAATAAATACTGTAATAAACTGTAAATACTATCTAATATTTCCTGCACAGTATTTACTGGCTGTAAATACTCTACAGTATTTACTATAAATAATATTTCCTGTATAAATAAATCCATATAATAAATACTGTAATATACTGTAAATACTACACAGTATTTACTGGCTGTATAGCATTACCTATTATCCTGTCCATAGTTAAACCAGGACTAGCTGCTTTACAGTCTCTGCTTTTGAATGTCATAGCAAATGATTTTTTTGTAGTTAAATCAGAAAATATAGAATGAAAAAAAAGCCTCTGAAAACCTGATCAGCAGGGAAAGGCCAAAGAGATGGAGTAGTTTAATCCAGAAAGGACATAAATAAAAAGGAGTGAGCTGCTGGGATGCCAATATGCAGAAGCTGCTTCTCTTTGAAGGAGGCTGGTGATCAATTATTCTCCATTTTGATTGTGGCTTGGTTTAATTCACCACAAGGGAGAACAGGATTAGACACTTGGAAAAAAGTCTTTCTAGCTGTAAAGAGTAGTTAAACACTAGAACAGACAAAAGAGGGAAGCCTTGGGACAGCATTCCTTGGGGATTTTCAAACAGCAGGTTAGACAAACATCCACCAGAGCTGCTCTGAGCATTCTTAATCCTGCCAAAGGAGCAGCTCAGGGTCCTCCCCAGCCCTGCATTCTGCTGACGTCCAAGAGCAGGGTGCCAGATGGAGGAGAAGCCAGGCTGAGAGCAGGCAGGGGCTCCAGGGGTGCCAGGGGAGGAGCCCCAGGGCACAGCCTGGGGCAGCAAAGCGCCAGGGGCAGCGCCCCAAACCCGCAGCCTCTGCAGCCAGCACCCAGCCTGTGCTGCACAGCTCGGAATGAAATGGATGCATCTAGGTCATTTGCACTTATTTGTCTAAATATGATCTTTTTTTTTTACCCTCCAGCTTCCAGGCTTTCCTTTCCTTTCCCTAGCTGAGGTTAATGAAGCTCTTCCCAAGAAGGCTCTGCAGTCTGTTCACGGAACGCGCGCTAAGGATTCGCCAGGAAAAGCTGGAGCCAAAAAAAGTCTCCTTTGATGGGAGCACAAACCAAAGTTGTGACACGTTACATAAACCCACCCAGCTCTGCTCTCTGCTCCTGCTCTGCTGGAGCTCTGCAGCTGAAGAGCCTGTGCCCGAGGCAGGGCTGCCCTGGGGGTCGTCCCTGCCCGCCAGACCTCCTCGCAGGGGGGCTTAAAAATCCCCATTTCACTGCCCCCCTTGCTGAAAGGGGGCAAGGGACTTGCTCTGGCTGTGCTTGGAAAAAAAACCAACTCCTCTGTGACCACTGTAAGGAAAGCAAGGCTGAACTTCTGGAAAACCTGAAGATCTGAGCTTGGGATGTGGCTTCCAGAGTGAATTATGCCCCGACCCTCCAACGACTGCAGAGGTACAGATCCCTGTAGAAAGGATTTCACCTGTAAATCACACTGCCCAGCACCTCTTACCATTGCATTGACTTCTCCTTGTCTCCAGCACTGCTTTCTCCTCCTGCTCTCCAGCTTTAACCAGTCCCCTTTTTCCCTGCCCCAGGCTGCAGCTACCTGTGCCACGAGCTGCCTCTGAACCCT